GGAGGGATTTGCTGGCTGACCGAAGTGAACGGGATGGAATGTAGGGTGTTAGGAGCTCTTTTAGGTACTGTGGTCCTTGATTGTTTAAGGCTTTGAAGGTCAGCAAGCCAAGTTTAAAATATGTTCGTCATTTAAGTGGAAGCCAATGCAGGGAGTGGAGAACAGGTGTTATGTGGCAGAAGCGAGTTTGATTGGTCAGTAATCTGGCTGCTGCATTTTGTACCGTCTGAAGGCGATGGAGTTCTTTTCCTGGAAGGCCCAAGTAAAGTACATTGCAGTAATCTAGCCAAGAGGATACGAATGCATGGATTAATGTTGGCATATCATCCGGTGGAATTAAGTGTTGTATCCTGGCTATGTTTTTCAGATGATAGTGTATTACGAAGGAAATCTGCTGTTTAAATGATAATCCAGAGTCAATCAGCACTCCAAGGTTTCGTACCTTTGATGAACTGATGAGTTCCGAGCCTCCAAGCTCCAGGCCAGTTGGGTGATCGTGGTATATTTTTGTTGCCCTGGGTCCCCTTACCAAGAGTAACTCTGTTTTGCCCAGGTTCACTTTAAGCCAACTAGCATTCATCTGTTCTATGAGGTCTGCTAAGCAACTGTTGATGTGGCATGTTGGGTCTGTGGTATCTGGTGCAAAGAAGTAGAGTTGTGTGTCATCAGCGTAACAATGATACCTTAGGCCATGTCGCCTAATAATGTCCCCCAGTGGTAGCAACTAAACTGCGAATAGCATGGGAGACCAGATGGATCCTTGTGGAACTCCACAGGTCAGTTCTGTTGGTGCAGATGAGCTTGATCCTGATGTTACTCTCTGTGATCTACCAGCGAGGAAAGATTTAAGCCAGTAAAGGACTGTGCCTCCTAGACGACAGATGTGCTGCAAGCGCTCTAATAAAATCCTATGGTCAATGGTGTCAAATGCAGCTGAGAGATCCAAGAGGATTAGGATGGAGTAATCACCTTTGTCTATCGCCATAAGGAGATCATTTAGCGCTGTTTCAGTGCTGTGGCAGCATCTGAAGCCTGACTGGAAAGGATCAAATATGTTTAAGCTTGATAGATGGGCCTCCACTTGAGTTGCCACTACTTTTTCAATTATTTTCCCCAGAAATGGATAGTTGGATACTGGTCTGTAATTAGCCATGCAGTCTGGGTCTAATAAAGGCTTCTTTAGGAGTGGTTTTACCACAGCTTTTTTTAGAGGATCTGGGAAGTCTCCAGTTTTTAGTAAACACTGCACTATTTTTGTGAGGGCTGGGCCGAGTGTTTCAATGCAACCAGATATGAGCTGAGTTGGAGCAGAGTCTAAGTCATACGTAGTAGGGTGTAACTTTTGCATGTTTTTTTTTTAACCCGCTTTATATCCACATTTGTAAAAATGGACCATAAACTGAGGCAATCTGGCATTCCATTGCAGTGGTTCTGCTGTGATAGAAGCTCGGATTGAGTAAATCGTATCCTGAGAAAAGGGGATGTGCATGCATGCTGGTTTGCAGAGCCTTTCTACTGAAGATTTTTTTTTTCTGAGTTATCTTGAATTGATATTCATTTAGATGTTTGGTAAGAGCATTTTTATTTTCTGGATCATGTGTCGTGCGCCACTTTCTCTCATGTTTACAGCCTGTTCTCTTCATTTCTCGGATGGTACTATCAAACCACGGTGCATTGTTGTGGGTTTTGACAGTGCGTATGCATGTTGGTGCAATGCTTTCTAGGGTGTCTCTCATGGTTTTGTAGTAGAGTCGGACTTAGAAGCTGGGGTCTTCACAGGGGCCCATTAGTTCACTTAGATTCATATGTAATGTTACATCCAATGGCGTCACCCCTTTTAATGAGCGGTGTTTGAGGCTGGGGTCTGGCTGATAGTGATAAAATGGAGAAGTGAATGGAGTGGTGGTCTGACCAAACAACTGGATTTACAGTTACTGGTGACACTTCTAGTCTAGACTGGAACACTAGATCAAGTATATGACCTTTTCTGTGGGTGAAAGTGGCGACTATTTGTGTAAAGCAGAGTGCACTCATCAAGCTGAGGAGATCCTGCCAAAGCAGGGATAGAGTGTAATCAATCCAGGTGTTGAAGTCTCACAATATAAGCCATCTGGGGCGTTCAAGGATTAAGCCAACCAAACGGTCTGAGAGTTCCTGAAGAAATCTCTCCCTATCTCCTGGGGTTCTGTATATTAACAGTATCCGGAATCCTCTATCTATTGAGTGGCTGGCATCTATGCATTCAGAAGTTTGGGGTTTGTGGAGTTCTATTTGTCTGGTATTTAAGGATGATTTCACACAGATCATTACTCCACCTCCCTTGAGATCTTGTCTCGGGCGGTGGAACACAGTGTAATTGCCTGGAATAGCTGCCTCTAGAATAGGCCCGCATTTTCATTTAGCCATGATTCTATAATGCACACTAATTTGCATGTTTCAATAAGGTCGGCAATAATAGCTGTTTTGTTCCTTATTGATCTGGCATTGCACAGGATTGATCTGATAGGGCAGTCTTGGGATTCTGTGTTTTTGCTCTAAACTTTGGAAACAGTGTGTCTTCTAAGGGATCACACAAAGAGGTTTCCTTGATTTGATAGTGCGGTTTTTGTGGCTTCTAGGTTTAATCACTTCAGTTGGGCTTGCAGGTAGACAGGGTGGTGGAGCGGCTGTGATAGTCAGGAGAATATTATTTTATTATTTATATAGCGCCAGCAAATTCCATAGCGCTGTACAATGGGTATAGAACTTTAAGTTTTGATTTTCCTCCACGACAGCCGTCAGTCACTTTGAAAATGCCAAGTAATTTTATGGTAACCACAAGCGAGGGACTGAGTGCAGCAACCGCCTTTTGGGGTCTTAGGGAATACAGATATGAGGGAGTATAGGTAATCATTCTCTCAGCAGTGAAGGAGTTAAAATAGCTTCTAATTTTTGTAGGGATGTTAGCAGTGGGGGCTGGTTACATTGCCCTGCTCCATAGGATTCAGGCCAGATTGAGGTGTGAGATTTTGCACTTCAGGCTGCATTGTAGAGAACAGATAAGAAAGCATGCATGCAGGTCATATTACATGAGTTCAAAGCCAATGTGTTTTAGTGCAATATTTTTCATCAATTAATTTTCTTGGTATTTAGAAATGAAATCTGAGCATTGCTGAATGGATGATCAAATCCAAAACCCAATTTACACATGGAGGTGAGTCATTTTTTTAGTTTAAATGTACCTTGTTTGTGGTGTTCAGCTGAAGGTATCTCTTCCTGGTAGTAAGATGGTCCAGTGGAAGTATATTTCAGTCTGTTGTGTATCTCAGTTTAGTAATGCCATCCGTTCAATTTTGGTAAATCCAGTTGTGTGACATGTGGAGTCAATATTGGTCCTTGAAATATTTCTGATGAATTATGAGTGTAAGGAGGTTAAAATTAAGATAATTCCTGAAAAGTGTGGCAGCCAGCAGGGGCACCTGGCTAAAATATAATAAATAAATATATATATATTTTCAACCCCTTCATGGCAAGCATTCTTAGTACTTAGTAAAGCACCCTTTTGCATTTATGACCTTCTTCAAATGAGATGCAAAGCCAGACACCAGCTTCTGGCAACATTCCTGAGAAAGCTTAGCCCATTTCTCATGAGCAATAGCCTCCAATTCAGTAATATTCTTGGATTTGCTTCCTTCAACTGCCTTCTTCAAATCCAACCAGAGATTTTCCATGAGGTTCATGTCAGGTGACTGATGGCCATCATAACATTTTCCATGAGTTCTTCTACAACCAAGCCCTGGTGGAATTTGAGGTATTCTTGGGATCATTGTCTTGTTGGAAGGTCCAATGACGCCCAAGCTTCAGCATGATGTTTCCTCCTAGAATTTCCTGATACTTCAATGGATCCATCTTGCCTTTTACATGCTGTAGGTTTCCAGTGCCAGAGGATGCAAAGCGGCCCCAGAACATCACCGAGTCACCACCATGCTTAACTGTAGGCAGTGTTCTTTTTAGCATATGCTTCATTCTTCTTCCTCTGGACATTGGGCTAAAAAGCTGCAGTTTTGTGTTATCACTCCACACAAGAGAATCCCTAAACTTCTCTGGCTTATTTATATGATTTTGAGCATATTGGAGGCAACTTTTCTTGTCCTTTTGGATCAGTAGTGGAATTCTGGCATGGAAATCATCTGCACTTATTACGCACTTTACTGTGCTCAATGAAAACTAGGTGCCTGTTGCCACCGAGTCTTCCTGCAGGTCTTCTGCAGTCACTTGAGGGTTTTTCACAACCTGCCTTTTCAGAAATCTGGTTGCATCCACTGATATCTTCCTTTTTTCTGCCCTGTCCAGGCAGTGTATCCACTGTTCCTTCAACTTTGATCTTGCGAACTATGCTTCCCGTGGTGTCTCTAGAAACATTCAGTGGCTTCACAATCTTTTTGTATCTTGTTCCTTGTTTGTGAAGGGCGATGATCTCTTAACTTTGTGTTCCATTGTTTTGACTTAGCCATATTTCTACCATGCAGTCAAATGTGACACTCAACAAACCCCTAACCAGTTCAGGTATATCAAGCGTTCCAGCACACCTGGTGCAACTAATAAAGCCCTTGATTAGTTATATCAGATGTGCTTGATACAACATTAGTTTTACATATTTGTGATGTTGTGAAGGATTCTATTCAGGGATCGACTAATTTTGCAACTGAAGGATTTTGTGGTGTTGTGAGGGATTCTACTCAGGGATCGACTAATTTTGCAACTGAAGGATTCATTCTAAGTTGCATTTTCAGTTCAATTTGGGGAAATCACTTGAAATAATTGTTCTGTTGAGCTACTTCAAATGCTTTCATTTGATTTGTTCATTGCAAGCAGCTGAAAGTCTATAAATGTTGACAATAAACCTGATTTTCAATGTGGGTTGAATAATTTTGTTTGCACCTGTAAATGTGCTTAAGCTGTCATAGAAGTGGGAGTAGTCCTTTAATTATTTGTGCAGCAACAATGTATGAAGTGAAGATAGGCTTTTCCGTTGTAGGAGTAGTAAGAACTAGGGTTAGAAGGGTCCTATATTGTTTTTAGCATTATTCTGTGTAACAGGGTCTGTAATTAGAGTCCAAGGTAAATAATAGAGGTTTTAGGAATAGTGGCTAATTTGGGTCACAGATTGATTTTAGAAGTGTTAAAAGTACAGGGGCATGCTGTATTCGATGTAGTATGGTCTGAGGAATTTTGGTCCTAGATTTTTGGTAGGGGATAACCTACAGCTTCTGTAAGTTAGATCTCCTTAATGCTTTAGCCTAGTTTAAAAGGGCAACAAACCATAAGTATTAAGATTGTATTATTGTTCACTCTATGGAATAAACATTTTAAGTAATATTTATGCTTTAGAAAATAATTTTATTGTACTTGGGTCCTGTAACAACCAAATTCTTCTGTCAAAGGTATAACACACAGAAACTGTAAGTTTGAAAGAGTGTTTATATACAGGCACTCCTCACTTACCGACCAAGTTCCATTTTTACGAACAAAGACCAGTTCACTAATGTGGGGAATCCCTCATATATATGTTTTAGCGATTTCCCGATACTAAGAATCAGGGGGTAATATCCTCCCCGGTATAGATAAAATAAAATAGGGACTACTTTTTCTTATGTATTATAGCATGATCTTTGACAAAGGTCAGAGCTTAAAGTGGCTCTGTCATCTCAAACTTAGCTTTCTCTTATGCTTCCTCTTTCAGAATCTGTTCTTCTTTAAGTCATTTCTGATTTGCTTCTCTTTAACCCCTTTAGGACGAAACTTCTGGAATAAAAGGGAATCATGACATGTCACACGTCATGTGTCCTTAAGGGGTTAAAAGATAAGACTCTGTGAAACTATGCTTGATGTCCTCAAACTCTGCATGAGGACATCCGGTGTCAGAGAAAACCCCATATAAAAGCATTAAGGCAATACTTTCCTACGAGAGAGACCTAATATGCACTCGGCAATCAAAGCGCACATGCGCAGCAGGTGTATGAAGTTGAAGGAGGCAGAGCGCATCTGAGCACTGAGGGACAACGGTGCTAGAATCGGGTACGTTAATAAAGGGTAATTTAACCCTTTACATGCCACGGGGGTACCATAGTGTTAGGAATACAGCTTTGAATTCCTAACACTATAGTATTTCTTTAAAGAGAAATGGATCAGTAATGAAGAAAAGAAGAACAGATTCTGAAAGAGGGAGAGAAAAGGAAACAATAGGAGAAAAGTAAGTTTGAGGGGACAAAGCCACTTTATGCACAGTTTTCAGCTGCCAGGCCAATTTACCCACAATCCATAAAACACACACGGATGGACAAACTACTGACATCATTGACTGAGGAAAACAAAATGCATGTCTCCCAAGTGTCCCTATTTAAGCGAGACAACCCTATTTTAGGCCTAAATCCCTCTGTTCTTCTTTTCTATCCTAATGTCCCTCTTTTCTGGGAGCTCCGTATTGTTGGTGCGTTTAAGTGTATACGAGAGCTCCATTATATTTTAAATTGCTTAAATTGTATTTATTAAGTCACCTAAAATTACTCAGAATGGCCCCATCCGCTCCATTTGAAATGTTGGGAGGTATAAAAATGGTGGCATCTGGAGATCTGGTGCAAGAAAGAAGAGTTAATCAATATAAATAAAGTCAAGTCATGGAGGGAATGTAATCATTAAGTGACATGTGGTATAAGGAATGGAATACTGAAGAAAAGAAAAAAGAAAATTAAACTTCCAATTTAAACCTTTTATTAAGTTTATAAAATCACCTATTTGAGTTGAGATCATAGGAATTCAGTTTCAAAATATGATCACATATTAAATAAATTTCATATGTGTACACCATTTTTGGTAGGTCCTAACCTAATGATTGTCCTTTTGAGATAACATTTTGTGTTATATCTATACTGTGGGTCTCTAGGTAATTTAAGATTAAATTAAGAAGGCAGTTTAGTGGGGCATCTGTAATAGGAAGGGTTGCTGAAAATTTTAAAATGTTCAGTATTATCTATAGAATTATAAAGGAAGAAGTCAGTTGAACATGCCTACATCAAAAGGGTGCGGTTATCACAATAGTTTCACTTCAAGCTATAATCTGCTTATATAATGAATATGTAATTTATCAAATTGGTAACTTAAATATTTTATTGCTCCATGAGATCTTAATTAAATACTTTATCTCCACAGCTGATAGCACTGTCATAATGCATGGTGTGATGCTGTCTGTCACCCCATTTTATATTCTTATTGCAATGTTCAGGATGCTCCCATTAGAGCAGTATTCCACAAACTCTGGCCCTCCAGATGTTGCCATGGGATAACTCCCATGATTCTATAAATGAAATAGGCTGAGAATCATTGGAGTTGTAGTAACATCTGGAGTGCCGGAGTTTGGAGATGCCTGCATTAGAGTAATACTTACATTAACTACAGAACATGCACTGTATGTGTAATGGATAGCAGGAGACTCGTCTGTAGGCAGGTTCTCCAGTTCTTATGTCACTCAAATCTTAGCATAGAGGGCTATACCATCAATTGTGTGACAGGCAATGGACCATATCTTTATACAGTATAGATTTAGTATAAAACATATACATTTGTTAGCTCCTCCTCTAACACCATATATAGATAATAGTTTATAACCTTCCAGTTGAAGGAACAGTCTAAACCCGTAGAGCACTTTAGCTTTCTGGAGTGATTTATGTGTTGAGTGTCAGGGTTATTTACTAAAGTGAGAATTCAAAGTGAAGTTAAAATTTAAGGCAAGACTACCCAAACTGAAAGCATTGCTAAATCAGAGAACCTCTTCAGTTTGGCTATTTGGGTCTTAAATTTTGAAATACACTTTGAATTCACGGCAATTCTCACGTTTGTAAATAACCGTGTGCATATTCTTTTTTTTCATTTTACATAAAGTGGCTTTCAATCAGACAATCGGTTCTGTTACTTCATGGTTGTTTAACTCAGTGGATATAAACTTAGGAAGCAGCAATTGCTCAGAGCATCTGCCTTACAAAGACTTCCCAATCGAGCTGTACCAGGAAGTCTGTGATTGGACAGCTACAGAGAGTGTGGGCAAGTTAGAAGAGAGGGGTTGCTAAAGCTGCAGGCAAGAGATATGCAGAATTTTCAACCAATTTTAGATATACACCCAATTAATAAAAGCATAATTAAATGCATTGATGTTTTCATTGGGGGTACATGTACTTAAATCTTTTTATTTTTTTTATTAATAATTTGGCTAGTACAGTGTCACTTTAACCTAAATTTGTTTATGCCATATATAACAGATGTGCTTTAAAAGTTGCTTTTCCTGTATTAGGGGAAGGTATTCTGTTACATTTTGTGTTACGATTTTAAGAGTTGTTTGTATTTGATACTGCTGTGCTGCCACAGAAAAATAATTTCAGGTTATAACCCAGCTGTTGCACATGTTTTGGATACACAAAATGGAACCCATACAGTGGTTTTTGCACCCACTTGTGGTGTATTCAACTGGATCAAGCAAAAGAAAAAAACAACAGGTACACTCAGGCAATGAACCTGAAAATACTTTCAAAGGTTATAGTTAAACTCCAGATCACATCACTGCTTTTTGAAATGCTCGTGTATATCTGTTGTTCAAAGAGTCACTTACTCTCAAGTAAGCTGCTATAATAAATAAATTAAACAAAATTTTTTTTTCAGGATTCTTTACTTAAAAAAAAAAATTAAACTTCTAACGGTTGCCAAAAATAACTATTTAGAGTGCTATTACAAAATGCAGGTTTATCAGTGATAAGGATCACACTTGTGAAGCAAGATAGGGTGCGGCCAAGGATCTGTGCCTCTTACATAATATGCCAGAGGCCTTCAGAGTATTTAAAATGGACGTCACCAGACTTCTTATACACAACTCTCTCCTGGAGACACAGGGTGAAGCGAATGACTGTAGCAAGCAGAAATAAATATGCAGGTCAAATAGCAGGAAACAACTTTTTTAATGTATGCGCTTTGAAAAACTGTAACGCTGAAATTGTCTGCCTGAGGAAAAAAACAAGGTAAATGTATTTACTGTTAATGTAAAGTTTTCATCTGTTCAATATGTCACTATTAAATTATTGATGTAATGCAAAGTGATATCTGGGAATTTCAGGCACCTTGGAATGGGCCCTACATGCTGCCCAGCTCCAAAGCAGTCGTTTAAAGGAACCCTATAGTGTTCACCTACTGTGCCCCATCACCTGTACTTTAAAACAGACTATTTATGTAGGTTGCTTTACTTTTCTTATGTTGTAATCACCCTGTACCCATTACAGGTGCAGGGTGTGTGTAATGTAATTGTTTATATTGTGTGTGTGTGTATACTGTTAAATGTATTACCTGCTCTTCTGTACTGCTGAGGATTGCTACCAACTAGGTGGATTTGGCTAGGGAGCATGTGTAGTGCCCTCTGTTTGTAGCAACAGCATTATGCACCACCTGAATAGCAAGGCTGGTTAATTTGCATATTCAGGTAGATTGGCATATTGCTAATTCTGCAGGCAAGAGAGATATTTTCTGTTAATTATTGTCTTCCCCACCCCTTTATAAATATGTCATTGTTATAATAAGTTGCTGTATGTTGTCTGCTATGATTTGACTGTCTGTATTTTTATTGAGTTATCACAGCAATGTTTATGTAATGATCATATGGGCTAATCCCAAGTAAAAAATGTTTGTATGTTAATTCTTTTTGGAACTTGTGTCCTGTGTGACAGTCTTTGGACCTGTTTGCTGGTTGCAGGATCCCTCTAGCCCTGGGATAAAGCAAGAGAGGTAGGCATGAGAGCCGCACAGTTCTTTTTAAAGACAAGACCTGTATATACCATTGCAGGCTGATGTGGATACCTACCTGGAAGGAATGCTGCAACCTGGTAGGGTGGAAAAGCTCAACAAGGATCCCAGTCAGGCTTCAGCAACTGGGGCTGAAGCGTTCCAGGGACCCTGCAAGCGGACTGGGCGGGGGTACTCGGTCAGAGTACAGGAGCTCCGTCACACCTACCTATGAAGGTTTCTACCTTTCTTGTGAACAATGGGTGAACACAATGTGCGGCTCCTTTTCTAGTTTATGGGGCCATATACTCTACGGAATTTGGCGCTATATAAATAATATACAAGAATTCCACATGTATTGATGCTACCTGTACAGCATACATTTCCGAGATGTTAAAGCTCACTTAAAGGGTTACTCCATTGAAAAATGTTTTAATACAACACTGTTATTGGATGAAGTAAGTCTTGCTGGCATAGTCCTCCCTGTAAAAGAAAATTTAAAAAAAGACAAATTTACCTGTGATCCCACGCTGAGACCACATTTTCCCTGCAACTTGATCCTCCTTTAGTGATGCCAGTCCCGGGCCGACCTTTTGAATGTCCAAGCTGTGCGGCCACATATAGTGCCATGGCAGCAGTGGTGCCTGGTAGCCATCACAGCTTGTAACAGAAGGCTGCTACATACACATTTAAGGAGACATCTATACATAACCCTCACCCCCAGCGCAGATATATTTCAACCTCTACTACTTTTGTGACCTCTGCTTACCTTTTGCCGAGGTAACTGTTTACCACTTAACGACAGTTCCCTTTAAAGCCTGTTTGCGGACTTGTTACAGTGCAGACTAGATTTCCTGTCATGCTTTGCTTCCTTGAAGGCGGGAAACACAAAGTACTTTGGCCAGATCATAGCCAGTGCGGCTTGAGCACTGTGGGGGGCGCTAATCCTAGTGCAACACTAACTCTATGTTCAGAAGGTGGCCCTTAACTGAATTCAGCAGTCCTCTTTCTGAATATTTGCCTAAACGAGTGGTCAGTTAGCCCAAAGAAGCTGTAGGAGAGGTTGTGGAGATTACATTTTGTCTCTTAGGCCCTTAGGCTCCCAAACACTGCGGTGCCATCCTCTACTCTAATTTTAACATTAGAATTCATGTCCCTGAAACCTCATGTCATCAGGCCTCTTCAAAGAGTTGCATCCTCTTCAAAGAGCTCCACTGCAGCAACTTAGAACTTCTAGCCACAGCTCAGTAATCCAGGCTGGTGCTATTTAAGATCCCTAATGTTGCAGCTCACCTGGAGAGTGAGTCTATAATATTGCCACTGCATATCAGGAAATAGGTATGCAAAGGCAGTGGGTGTTTCTTACTGGCAGTTGGTATACGAGAGGTGTTTGGTGGGTATATGCACTTACAAGTTTAATGCCATACCTGTGAGTAAAGATTTATTTTTTTATCAAGCTTTCAAATCCCTTTAATTTACAGTTAATAGGAAATGGAGGTTTTAAATGATGGGAGGTATTAAATGAGGGGTGTGGCCAGGTTAGGGCGGTGTGAAGATTTTTTGCAGATGTTGCCCGGACTAAAGCCGGCCCTGGTCATTCACCATCACTGGAGAGCAGCAGCAGAAATAGTAATACAATACACAAAACCAGAAACAAATAACAGACACCCATATAATACAAATAACCCAGTACAATAAGGAGATTCCAATACACAGAGATGAGCATAATACTGAGATACCCATATAATACACAGAACTGGACACAACACAAAAATTTGTGAGCTGGGTACTGCAGAGATACCCATACAACGGACAAAGCTGAGTAACATAACAGAGATAACATACAGAGCTAGGCACAATAAAGAAATATCTATAACTATCCCACACAATCAGGGTTACTGTGATGGATTCCACAGAGCTGCAATATAGAGACCATCTGATAGAAATAGCCTAGTTCTACTCAGTTATTTTGAAAGAAGAGCCTATAATGGCTGTCAGCCATGAGCGGCATATAAACCCTTCAATGTAAACACTGCCACTTATGCAGAACAGCAATGTTTTACATTGCAGGGTTAAACAGACAGGGACATGGCGTCCAGACGACTTAATTGAGATGACGTGGTCTAGATGCCTATAGTGTGCCTTTATCGAGGCCTATTTTAGAACAGTCTGTTGAGGTTGTAGTGTATAATAGGAGAGAGTGTATGTGTGAGTGAGATAGGGTGTTTGTATCGAGGATTGTTTGTGTGTATGAGAGAAAGTTAGGGTGTCTGTTTATCTGTATAAAGATTTGTGTATGCATATGAGTAAAAGACAAGGGCTCTGTAGCCCATGGAGCAGTGTAACTAAGGGGAGTGGGCCTTGACATTGCCAGGAGACAGGCATCTAAGGGTCAGTGGTTAGGGATTGGTTTAAGGAAATTGAGTGGGGTGGAGTTATAAGGGGAGTATAAGTAGTGGCCATTTTATATCTAGGGATCACTTTAATCTAAGTTGCACTTACCTGTTGTTTTCCCACCCACCCTCCCTTTGCTTTCAGGTGTTTCCCGTTTGGTCACGGCGGCGGGGAGAAAAGAGTGAGATGGGGTAAAAATTTGGAGTTCATGGCCAATAGGTAAGCCTTTGGACTGGTTTGGTAGGTTCAAGCTCGTAGGTAGCTCCGAAACGGGGTGTGTAAGGGTGTCTCGGTATGCCTCTACACTTGTGGTGCCCTTTGGTGGCAATGGTCATGTTTCAATGTTAAGTTGAATGTTACAATGTTTTGGGTATTATGTTATGTGGGAATGGGTCATTGTCAGGGGGTTTAGATTGTAAAATCAATGACCTTTATACTTTCTGTTAAGAATCAATAAAGCTGTGATATAAATTATGGTGTCAGTGTTTTATTGGAAAATGGGTAATGGTGAGGTTTATGCATATGCCGACAAGGCGACTATGCACGTCATGTGTAACTGTATATGAGACAGTGTGTGAAAGCAAAAGAGACCACTATGTAAATACCTCACCAGTTCTAGACATGAAATGCCCTGTATAATCTGCATCATTTGCAGAGGCTAAAAATAAACTAATCATTAAAGGGATACTATAGTCACCCGGACCACTTCATCTCAATGAAGTGATGAAGTGGTCTAGGTGTAGTGTACTTATTCTCTTAACCCTACAAGGTAAAACATTGCAGTTTTTGAGAAATAGAGGCACTTCCTCAGCACAGACCAAGTTGAATTCAGTAGCATGAATCGGAGCAATTTTTTCCTATGGGGAAGATTGAATGCATGCGTGCCACTTGCCACTTATGCCCATTAGATCCCCAATGCCCCTATATGACGATTAAACCAAGCTATAGCACCTTTGTGACACCACCTGGGGGGAGAAGGTGAGCAGTAACAAACTTGCCTTGGTAATGGAATCAAGTTAAGTAAGAAATGTTTTTTATTTAAGTCCTTTACTGACAGGGGGAGGGGGGAAGGGGCGATGACACCTAGTACTATTAGGGACAGGAACACTATAACATTAGGAATATAGATTTGTATGACTAACCTCATAGTATTCCATTAAAAAAAAAAAATTGTTTTTTTTTTAAATTCCAATATTTTACATGTAAAATGCTCTGTGAGTAATGCTTAAGTTCAAGAGGAGACATGCTCTACTGTTCCTATTTTAGACGTGACATTGTTTGTATAAAGGATAAATGATAAACATGTCTATATGTCTACAATGATTTGTATAAACTACCCCACATAGTATAAATAGTGACATATGTGGTGAATAATGGCATTACATAAATAATAGTAAATGGTGTGGAATGGTTGTGAAATGTGGGGTTGTATATAGGATGATTAATGGAGAATTAATTAAACATATTGGATGAGTAACAAAATAAATGCTGTAGAATGTTAAAACCAATATAGGGCTAAATTGTCTAAATAGGCATTAAATAAATGAGAAGCTTTTAGCTAATTATTTCTTTTTGAAAATTGTAGTTTCTTTTCTATATTATTATCAATAAAACTTCACCTATTACGTAAAAAGAAAAAACATGAATTTCTCCCCTGGCATTTACATTGGAATTTACAACCGAGTGAAGTTCACCATTTTCACCTAGTGAAACTGCGTGGTTTGAAGTGTGCTCTTTGTAAAGGAGGCAATGGATTTCCTTAGTAAAGGACAATTTTCTTTTGTATTTTTGGATTCATATGACTAAAACAAGAACATTCAGTTGAACCTTTCCCTTGTGCTCTGATGACTAGAATGTACCTTTAGAAAAGGCCACATGGGACTGTTAAAAATATGTGTTTGGGTAGGAGGGTCCTCAATTAAGATTTACGCTCTGTATTAAGTTAAATTAACTTTATTTTCTCTTTTTCCACCATGCACCTCAACCTCATATTGTTCTGTGTTGGGAGCACAAAGCTTGCACCTGTGACATCAGAGTTGTCTTTATACCAGAACTATTATGTGCAGCCTTTTAAACTAAAGTTTGTGTCTTGGAATGTGACCTGAATTGCCTACGTGCATGAGATAGGAACATAGCATATATACTAATCAGCCACAACATTTAAACCACTGACAGGTGAAGTGAATATCATTGATTATATTGTTAGAATGGTGCCAGTCAAGGGTTCGGATATATTAGGCAGTTAGTGAACAGTCAGTTCTTGAATTTAATGTGTTGAAACCAAAAAAATGGGAAAGCATAAAGATCTGAGTGACTTTGACAAGGGTCACATAGTGACGGCTAGGTGAGCTCATCTCCAAAACGGCAAGTCTTGTGAGGTTTTACCGGCATGCAGTGGTTAGTACCTACCAAAAGTGGTGCAAGGAAGGACAACCATTGAACCAGTGTCAGGGTCATGTACGCCCAAGGCTCATTGATGCACTATCTTCAAGCAGAAGAGCTACTGTATCTCAACTTGCTGACCAGTCAGAATACCCATTATTAATATTATTTATAAAGCACCAACAAGTTCTGTAGCGCTGTACAATGGGTGGACTTACAGACAAGTATTTGTAGCCATACAAGTTGGACACACAAGAACATAGGGATTGAGGGCCCTGCTCAATGAGCTTGCATGCTAGAGGGAGTGGGGTATAGTGACACAAAAGGTAAGGGTAGGGTAGAAAAGTAGGTTGTTAGCATAGTGTTCATTGAGGGCTAAGATGACCCCTGTCCACCGCCAAAAGGGGCTTCAATGGAGAAGTTGCAGAACTGGATCATGAAGCAAAGGAAGAAAGTGCCTTGGTCACGTTTTCTTCTAGATCAAGTGGATGGTTGGGTGCGTGTGTGTCATTTACCTGGGGAAGAGATTGCAGCAGGATGCACTATGGGAAGAAGGCAGGCTGGCGAAGGCAGTGTTATGCTCTGGGCAATAATCTACTGGGTCACATTCATGTACTACCTACCTAGAGATTGTTGCAGACCTTCATGCTAATGATGTCCCCTGATGGCAGTGGTCTCTTTCATCAGGATAATGCATCCTGCTATATTGCAAAAACATTTTCAGGAATGGTTTGAGGAATATATTAAAGAGTTCAAGGTGCTGCCTTGGCCTCCAAATTCCACAGATCTAAATCCGATTGAGCATCTGTGGGATGTGGTAGAACTAGAAATCCAATCCATGGGGGACCCACCTCGCAACTTGCAGCACTTAAAGGATCTGCTGCTAATGTCTTGGTGCCAGATACCGCTGGACATGAAGCCAAGGTCAATAACCGGAAATCACAAGAAAGTCACTGTTGCACCAAACAGAAATCACAATAGGTCAATGAGTAACAGGTTCACATGTGTTCTGATTGGTCCATGTCATCTCTGTGAATCTAAACAGCATGGGGTCGCCTAGATGACCTGTTACCTTTAAGGGCGGGCATGACGTTATGAATATCAAAACTATTTAAGGATGTGCACTTGGAGCAGGCAGCTTCCAAACGTTTGACTGCAGAGATCAGCTGCTTGGCGCCAGCAAATGCAAAGGAGCTATTCGCCAGCACTGAAAGTGTAAGTATATTTCTACCCACAGGTTTCCAGCCGCTCGGCCGTGTAGAGCAGTTGGGCCATGTGGCTAGCGGGAGCTGCTCAGCACGGAGCATGTAAGTACCAGTACAGTTAGATCTTGTTCTGGAAAAGGAGCCGTGGAAATTTTATCTTATCATTTGTCTCATCCCAGAGGTGCATTGGTAAATGGTAGGATTGACCTAGAACTTTGTGTGGTTTTTAAAACCTCTTTCGATTGCGTTGTTGATTTGGTTAAGAGGGCCAGTGTTGGTGCCCTGATGCCAAGACTAATGGAGTCTGCTTTTCTCTTGATTGTAAATATTTTTATGGACAAGTGCCTGCCTATGGGGTGTTCGATACCTGGTTTTTATTTTGAAACTTGCACTACTTTTTTAGAATGAGTGTTAAGGAAGGAATCAGGAGTTGACTCTATAACCCATTATTCAGACAATTTTTTTATCCGTCGGCCTGATTCCTCTTTAAGTTTTAACTTATTGGAAACGGTTTTCCGGGTTATGGGGCATTTTAGGTTACTTCTGTACCAAGAGAAAACAGAGGGTCCTACGTCTGTGATAACATTTCTGGGGATTGAAATAGATTCCGATCAGCAATTGTGCAGGCTTCCACATGATAATTTGGATGTGCTTCGGGCGTCCATTAACTTTTTTCTGTCTGCTAAGAAGGTGACTCTTACGAATCTGCAGTCGTTTGGGAAACTCACAAAGGGCACATTTTTTTGCATCGTTTATCGTTGGCGACAGCGGGGATCCACATGCACCATCACTTTGTTTGATTGTCTGCTGACTTGAAAGTAGACCTTATGGTTTCGGATAAAAATAGGAAAAATCAGCGCTTAACTGCCACAGAATAAGTGAGAAGGCAGCACACCTAAAGGGGAATCCCCTATGATCCCCTAAATATAAGAAATAAATAGACAAAAAGAAAGGTAAGGGTGCGCCTAAATGGGTAAATATAACAGATATATAAAATATAAAAATATAAAATGAGGTAAATGGAATAAAAGTCCAGAGCACTTATCAAATGTCCGTTATAGTAGTTTCTCCTTGTAGAGGTAGCAAATCTTTGGGACGTCAGGCGGGGTTGAGACTTCACAGTGATGTACTTGAATCCGGTGAGGTACGTATATAAAAGGAAAACAGAAAAAAGGGAAAACTCCAATGGTACAGTATATCAATCACAGTGTAAATATTGGAATAGTGTAAATAGTCCTACTCACACTTTTTGGAGCTTCGGATGTCTATTTGTGTTCCTTTAAT